AAAAAAAATATTGATTACAAGTTTAATCTAAGCATATCCATAAGTACCTAACGTCTGACATTGACAATTTGCGCAATTAATTTCCAGTTGTCAGTTAAAATTTTAATATTATGTAAAATACTGTTAAATAAAATTTGAAATAAAAACAATCGTAGAAAAAATGTTGCGTGCAACATGTGCAAAAAGCATATTTGTTGCACTTAACATGATTGCAGCTCTCAACTTCGTCTCGAGCTGCAAACTTCATGCATCGTACAACAAATACACACTCTTTACAGTAGTTGCACAAATAACTGTTTGAATGTCGCAGAAACTTTTATTAAATAGAAGTACAATGAAAACGAAACCAAGAAATAATTTATTATCAAAAAGAGAAAAAACAGAAAACTTAATTAAAGGATATTTTCAAAATAATTGCTATTTCTTTCTAAACACAACCTAACACATTTATCAAAGTTGTTACGGACTCGGGCAAAAATTATGGGATTGTAGCGAATCTCATCAGCCGCCGCGAATATTCTTTCCTGTAGCTCTTCAACACTGTCAACTGGGGTCGCATAAACAATACTTTTTATATGTCCCCAAAAGAAAAAATCCGTGGGCGTTAGATCGGGAGAACGTGCAGGCCAAGGGATAGGTGCCTCATTGCCGCGACCTATCCAACGATTCGGGTAATTTAAATTAAGCCACCGCCTAACTACTACAGTGCTGTGAGCAAGAGCCCCGTCATGCATGTACCACATGGCCTGACGTACATTTAATGGTACTTCCTCCAGAAGTGGTGGTAGATAGAGTTGTGGCCACGGAAATGTTTCAGGTAAATGAAACGTTTCGAAACGGAAATTTTGAAACGTTTCATTGGCAAAGTTCCCAATAGGAAACATTGAAACATTTCTGAAATCTTCATAAACTTAAATTTCCAAAACTTCATAAACTGCCAAAATTTCATAAATTTCCATGAATACTTCAAAACTTCATACGCATTTCCCTTTATGAATTGCACATTTTCAGATACTTTATTACCATACACCATACACCATACCTGAAAGTTTTTCTGAGAACTTCATTTTATAGACTTGTATTTACGAGCACATTAGACAAATATAAATAATAATTATATTAAATAATACACAACATTAATACTTATTGAACAATAATTTTATTATATCATATATGTACCTATACCCTATACATACACCACATAGCTAACATTTATAAAGCGCAGTATATTTAATAATTTATATCATGTTTTCCTTAAATAAAAATAAATATTACCTATTCTACTGTAACACAGCAAATAAAAGGAACTTTTGTTTTATAACTACAACTAAAATGATAATTCTCATTGGTATAGGGTGATCCATGTAAGGTGCCTATTAGATCTCCTAGCCTCAAGATTGAAATAAATGAAAATATTAAACTGGTAAAAGTGATAAGTGGTATTATGTATTATTTTTACCAGAATCTGTTAAGGCAATAGTATTTGGATTCCAAATATGTATGTAAGGGTTGTTCAGAAACAATTTATATAATATTTCATATTACATAAATCACTCTGTACTCCTGTACATCAGTGTATTTTCGAGTGTATTTTAAGAATATGAAAACACTGCATTATTGTTTTTTTATTGGAGTGGATGAAATGGATTGCATTATCCATTTGCCATTAATAAACTTTAACTGATTTAATCGTTGAAGATCTGCTGTAATTAAAGGCTTCCCCTCTAAATTCACATTACTTTCTCGCTCTTGAACACATATTTTGGTTTGAGGGTAGTTTGTAACTTCATTTAAAATTATTATTTTTTTGTTTATTTTCTCTTCCATTTCCCCTGCCCCTGCCCTATGTATAATATAATCTTTTCCAACATCTGCAATATCTGCCAACGCAAAATCCGTTTCTTCACTCTTTTGTAAATCTAAAATATTTTCATCAAGTTACACTAATTGTGACTGTTCTACATAACTGGTAGTTTTAAGGTTTTCGTCATCACTGTCTCTTTCAAAAATTTCAGGACTACTAGATCCATTCCTGGACTTGCTGGTAAAATTAGAGTGCCAAAAGTTTTCTTCAAAGTCTGAATCTGCGCTCATTTCACTCACTATTGTATTTTCTTTATTTGTTTCTTCGTCTGACACCACTTCTAAGCCAAGTATATCCATTTCATTTTCCCTAGCTGTAGCTGTGTAATCGAATTTTTTATCAGATTTCAATAATTTGCTATTTTGCCCGACGTAATTTAATTTAATAGCCCTTTCAGTGGTTAGACAATTCCTCTTTTTTGTGTGAATAATGCTCTGTGCGCCGAAGGATCGCTCTACGGCAGCTGATGTTGTTTGCATAGATAGTAATCGAACAGCTACTTTACTCACTATTGAAAGTTCCTTGCAATACCCACCCCAAAAAGTAATTAAGTCAATTTTTTGTGCTGCTTTGAGAATCACTTTCTGAAAATATACCCTGTTTTGAAAGAAACTGTCCTAGTTCTAAAATAATTGCATCATCACTATCATCACTTAGACCCATGGATTTTGCTGTGTCTTCGATGAAAGCCATGGATGCACATCGTTCTTCTTGCGTTAATAAAGAAATATGATCAGGATTTGGATTTAAAAGTTCGGCAGCATAATGAATCGGTTTTAGGGAGTAAGATTTTCTTTCATTAAATTGGTTCATACATATTTTAATATCATTTTCTTTTATTATATTCGGCAAATTATGCTGCAAATTTCTTTCGATGTCAGAAAACGCTGTGTAAACTAAATGTATGGTTGATTTATCCGATTCCAATTTGGTAATCCATGATGTAATTGGTTCCAAAATAGTTATAATATTACTTATTGAAAACTAGAACGTATCATCAAGTATAAGTCGTAGTGATTTTCCATTAAGTTTGGTGTTAACTTCTGAATCTATGGCAATTCTTTTGAGAATAGACTTACAATTCACCATACTTTTTAAACTTGCCATGTGTGACCCCCATCTTGTTGCTACAGGCAAGTGAAGCGATACGTTAATATTTAGTTCTTTTTTAAGATTATTAAAAGTTGCTACAAGAATGTGTGTTCTGGTTATTACTTTGATTATTTCTTTCACTTCAGCCATGACTGTTGTGTGCAAAACAGCCAAAGGATATTATATGTGGATATACTTCTAATTCTTTGGCTGCTTTTTGCATATTGCTGGCATTATCTGTAATTATGCATACAAATTTTTGTGGATTATATGTCTTTAATACATCTTCTAATAACTCCTTTATATATTGCGACATATGTTTATTTGTGGCAGTTTCTATACATTTTACAAAGACTGGTTCTAGCGTAGTAACGATAAAATTAATAATACCCTCATTTCTAATGTTGGTCCAACCGTCACACATTATACTCAAGTTTTGTGCTTCTGCTAGTTTACTTTCAACAAATTTATTTGTTTCTGTATATGCATTATCGAGCAATCGATGAGATAACTCGTATCTACTAGGATTTAATTTGAATGAAGGTCTTAATTCCTTAAAAAAAGTTTTCCAATTATCATCTACCATTCTCAAAGGGTATGCTATTGAAAATCATTTTACTCAATTTTGTCTCGAGTTTATCCTGAAAAAAAAATCCTGAAATCAATGTCTGATAACAAGGACAGTTAAGAGTCAATTCTTCAAATATTATCATTAAATAGATACATACCTGTTCTTTTTTGCTAATTTGATAAATAAACGAACACATGATATTTGAACTAGTTGTTTTGTAACTTTTGTCAATCATTTTTGGTTCTGCCCTGCTGCTGCTGCTGCAAGGAGAACTAGACATTGAAGGTGTCATATCACTCATGTCTGTCATATCTGTATCATTTTTTTTACACTCGTTCCAATAAAACTTTTGACATTGCAAGGACATTTTTTGCAGTTCAGTAAATGTTGATACATTCTAGTGGCATTCTTATAATATTTTGCTTCACAAAACTTACAAGTTACTTCGTTCTTTTCTAAGGTAAAATACCTCCATATATGAGTTTTATTTCTCATGTCAACAGATTAAGTTTAACACCAAGCACAGAATAACCGTTTGAAAACGTTTTTAAAAAATATTTCAAGGTTAGGTGTTAGGTTGACCAATAGAACTACCAATAGTACAAATCTTTTTAGAGAATAACATTTAGGGACTTATTACGGTTTGAAAAAAAGCGCCAAACAGCGAAAATTTCCGAAAGTTTCGGATATATTTCGGAAATTTTCAAAGGCCATGAAGTTTATTGCATTTTTAAAGTTTCCGATAATTTCCATTTTTTTCCGAAAATTTCGGAAACGTTTCGGAAAGTTTCCTTTAATTTATAAATTTCGGAAATTTAACAACACTAGTGGTAGATGCTCATTTAAGAACTGCAAATATTCAACAGCACCAAGTCGATGAGGTAAAACAAAAGGGCCGACAAGCACATTTCCTACAATTCCTGCCCAAATGTTTAAACTAAAATTATGTTGAAATGTTGTCAGATACTTCGTGAGGATTTTCAGGAGCCCAGGAATGAAGATTGTGCATATTGGTTAAACCATGTCTTTGAAAA